AGATTTTGGGGTGGGAAGGAAAGAAATCACCTCCAGTTACAAATGTTTCAAATTATGCACAGAATTTATGGATAATGCCAAATCACATCCTTAAATTTTTTCTATCTACAATAAGAAAACTGATCAGCAAAATATAGTTTTAGAATCTACATATTTTTAAACTTTGCTGGAAGGGACTAGTTTAAACTTTTTTACTAAGACTATGGTACAGCAAGAAGAAAGGATTTACAACTGTCCCAACACTGGGTAGTGAGTTCTTTGTTAAACATATTTTAAAAACTGTAGTGATATGTGGCTGTTTCAAAACCCAGGGATCAATTAGGCATTTAGATGCTAACTAACAGGAAAATGACTAGAGTATTTGAGGCAGGAGAAAAGCAGAGCAACTAGCCTCATGAGGTTCAAAAATAAGCTAACAGCCAATCAATTTTCCAATATTCTAAACGAACCTGTTCAAATAAAAATACAAACAGTTCCACAGTTCCAAAGAGCAGATAAATTGGGTTCTACTGTATACAATTCAACTATATATATACACATATAAAATCAAGATTCTCACAGCCTCCAATCTGGCTCCCTTGCCTTTGAGATTCTACTAGTTCTCATTCTCGTATCTTTTTTTCCTTCACGGGCTCCAGGACCAGGATCACACATTTAATGCATAACACATATGACAGAGGATTAATATCCTTATACAGAAATGTATCTTTCACTCTGATTAAAACAAAAGCATGTGACCCAGTAGAAAACAGGCAAGGGGTTTAAATCGGCACTTCAAAGAAGAGGAAATCCAAAGGGCCAATATGCACATGAACCTATGTTCCAATCTGCTTAATTAGACATCGAGATACCATTTCTCATGTATCAGCTGGGCCAAAATGAGAATGCATTGTAACATCCAGTACATACACAGTTGCAGGAACATGAGCACTTTCATAAACTGCTGGTAGAAGTGTGAATTGCTGATATGAGTCAATATAACATCTTCTGGAAAGTAATATGGCAGTGGTAATTAAAGAATACACACATCCTTTCACATAGCGATCTTTTTTAGGGTCTATCCACTATGGAAAAGAAAAAAGTCAATACACAGGCTGTATGTGTACAATATTTATTGCACTATCTTGGTAGTGACAAAAACTAGAAGAAATGAGTCCATTATTAGGGGAATCATTTTAAAAATTATAGTATACCCATAACATGGAATCTTCTGCAGCTATTTTTTTTTTTTATTGTACTTTAGGGGAAGGCTTACAGAACAAATAGTTTCTCATGAAACAGAAGTACACATGTTGTTTTATAACACTGGTTAACAACCCCACAACATATCAACCCTCTAACTTCTCAACC